AGATCATGAAACAAATGCACATACATATTTGTGACATGATGTACCTTGTGTGTGTGAAGTTTGAACTGATCAATCCAAGCATGTCTCAGATACGGATCCAGAACTGAATTCTTTAAAACAAAATGGCCGCCAGTCGGCCATTTCGAACCCGATCCAAAAAAAAAATGACGTGCATCAAGGTCCTATTATGTTTATTGTATGTACCAAATTTGAACAAAATCCGTCCATGCATAACTGAGATCCGGGTCCGGAATGGTGAAAATGTGCGATTTTGATGCATTTTCGGCCTTAAAATGGCCGCTATTCGGCTATCGTTAATCGGATCATGAAAAAAATGCATGTGCATATGTCCCATATAATGTGTGATGTATGAGTGAAGTTTGAACTTAATCGGTCCATGCATGTTCGAGATACAGGTGATCACGGACGCACGGACGGACGGACGAACGGACGGACGGACGGACGCACACAGGGCAAAACATAAGTCCCCGTTTTCGGACTGCGTCCGAACGGGGACTAAAAATGTGGTACAGAATACTAAATGCATTTTTTGGTTATCTGTACTTCTATTGAAGATGCACTTCTAATAGTAGAAAAAATATGTCACATATTAAAATACGTAAATTAAATTGTGAATTTCATTTTTATATTGTTTCATTTCACTGAAATTAACAAAATTACAATCGAATAATTATTAATGAGTTTACAGTACTGTGTTAGAAAAGGTCAAAGGTTAGAAAAACAAGTACGACCACAAAGATGTGTAAAATTCCAATTACATTGAGAAAATTCTGAAAAATATCAGTATCAAATTGGTTTTCTTATTGTTATAATTCTAACAAAATATTTTTTAATTATAATTAACTCAATATCTATTGCCTAACAATATTTTACCCAACATATTATAATATAGTATTAAACAAGCTGTTGAAAATTATTACAACATTGATATAAAGTAACTGAAGTTAGTTATACATGATGTAGTATTCCAACTCATGCCTGATTTATATCAATCTAATAGCTGAAATGCCATCAGATGCTATGAATACGCTCAATTTTAAAATTCACTCAAGTTGAAAATCAACAGATGTGAGATATTCTAACTATCCTCAAAGTCATCATAACTTATCAGACCCCCCCCCCCTTCCTGAAATATTTAAAACAGAAGCCAATCTTTGTGAATTCACAAATGTGGGGACACTATTCAGCAGGAAATTTGAACACACAAAATGGTTTGAAAATGTTGAAATTTGTACATTTGTCCAGAAAATAATGAGATGGTACAAAAACATATTTACTTGATCAAAGTCAAATAAAGTTTGACTTGAGGAAACTAAAAATTGTTGTGTACAATAGTGGTCACTATAGGCAGGTGATCTACAAAAACATTATGCCTCTGGACTGCCCAAGAGTGGTCACTTAACACAGGTTTGACTGTATACACAAAACTCACACACCACTACCTGCTTCAAGAAATCAAGAAAACAGGAATACAAAAACACGATGAATAAAACATGTAGAGAAATTCTGAAATATTTTCCGAGATCCATAAATTTTCTGTGGACTTTGAAGGTTTTGCAGTTTGTTAGTTCAGCTGTTGTGAATGATCAGCAGTTGCAAGAACTGACAATCCCATGATATGTTGCTTTCAACTTCCAAACAAGAACATCTGCTTCCTATTAATTTTAACCCCTTTGATACTAATGTCAACTTTTTTCATCTTCCAAAAAATAGTTCTATGTTGCATCCATGCATATTATTTAGGTAATTTGCATATCACCAACCCTTTCACAGCTATTGTCTACTTTGTAACCTTTTAGAAAGTACTTCTGTCTATGCATATTACGTAGTTTGCATATTACCACCCTTTCACAGCTATTGCCTACATTGTAACCTTTTAGAAAGTACTTCTGTCTATGCATATTACGTAGTTTGCATATTACCACCCTTTCACAGCTATTGCCTACATTGTAACCTTTTAGAAAGTAGTTCTGTCTAAGCATATTAATTAGGTAATTTGCATATCACTAACCCTGTCTATGCATATTAGGTAGTTTGGTTAGGTTGGTTAGGCAGAAATTTCATAAAACAATTTTTGTTGAATTAAGATACAACTACTAGTATAATCCAGTCATTCCTGAGTCAAGCATAGGATGATAAAATAGACAAGCAGCCTCTCGGCTGAGATAGCTCCGCTGTTAGCAATGCACATTTCAATTAAAGAACTGAAGATATCATTAGAAAATGAACAATATGTATAGTATGTATAGCAATCGGACTTGCTGTTTTCAACAAGAATTCAAATACATCACTTTTTACCAAAAATGACAAAAATATTCACCAAAATTAGAGAATTGAGGATATCATCACAAAATGAACAAATCTGAGAAAGGTCCACATGTAGTACCTATGTATGTAATATCAAAGCAATTGGAGTTTTGGTTTTTAACAAGAAGTCGAAAATATCACTTTTTACCAAAAATGACAAAAATATTCACCAAAATAAAAGAATTTAAGATATCATCACAAAATGAACAAATCTGAGAGAGGTCCACATGTAGTACCTATATATGTAATATCAAAGCAATTGGACTTGCGGTTTTTAACAAGAAGCCGAAAATATCACTTTTTACCAAAAATTACAAAAATATTCACCAAAATTAGAGAATTGAAGATATCATCATGAAATGAACAAATCTGAGAAAGGTCTACCCTAGGTACATACATACCAAGTATCAGAGCATTCATGCTTGTAGTTTTCAAGAAGAAGACGAAAAAGTAAAACATTGACACGGACGTCGGACGCTGACGGACAATCACTCGTAT